TAGTATGATGGTAACATGTAAGTTAGAGAAAATTGACTTATAATGATTGTTGTTAATTATCCGGATATATGTAGTGAATGTCATGGTGGGCCACCGTTCATATTTGTTCCATGCAATTGTATATGAATTGGCTACAATTATAAATGTATTTAAATGGTGTCTCGATATATCAAGGTTTTGTCATCTACTATTAAATCATGAGTTACATAGTCGTCATCGTTAACTTTTTTAATTCTATGATACACGACAAATAATGTATCTAAATTGATTATATATACATATATTTTAGATGTGCATTCTAGACTAGTATTTGTGCCTTTTGAACAACTCGCGATTAATTTATACACAAAATTTTTGTTTAAAAAAATCATGATACGATTTACATAGTTATTATGGCATATCAATTAAAGTTCTTATTGACAATTAAGAATGCTATGTTGAATTTGTAATGTCAATTGATATAAGAATAGCTACGGTATCTTACGTTATTTTAACAATCACATTAAATTTTTCTAAACTAATACATTCATAAAATACACGAACTTAAATTTGTAATTATTTCATAAAAGTAATGATTTAACCTTACAAAAAAATTGTTATTTTGTATGATTTAATTAGAATAAGATAATAAATCAACATTAAGGATGGATTTATTCTAGACCCTCAAATATAAATAAAATTTATCTTTGATATTTTATTTATTAGTCTTATTATTAAAAAATTCATAAATTCTATGCATGATACAACCTCTCGCCCATAATAATGTTAGAATTTACTACTAAATTGACATTGGTTAATTTAGATAAAATATATTTTTTGTAGCATCAAATTAATTTCATAGTTATCGTAATTTTTCCTACTATTTTTATTTATACATCTAGTATTTCAATGTTATATGGTGATAATTTTGTTAATTGAAAAAAAATATCTTCTTGTATTAGGGTGTGTGGATTTAGATTTAGCATTATGTATAGATGGACCACCCATCTCCACAAATTCAAGTAATGCTCGAAAGAAGATTGATTAAAGCAATGAAAGCCATCTAATTACTTAAGTTTAAAAATCTTAAACTTTTGCATAAATATAAGTATTAGGAGTTTTATCCCTCGATGTTGTAAGGCAAAAGATTTTTCGAAGGCTATAGAGGAACAATTTATTCATTTGGATGCAATACACAAAAGAAAAAAATAGTCAATTGATCAATTATTGACCTTGTGTGTTTTTTTTTTAAAAAAAAAGAGATGGAAATTTAAAAAACTAGAAGTGCTAATTGATTTCTTAAACTAAGAGAAAAGCCAAGGGTTAAATTGTCATAGAAATTAAGAAATATGGAAATGTGGTAATAAAACAAAAGAGTGATAATAGTAAATGTTTCTTTTGTAGAAAATGGAGATATGTTAAGAAAGATTCCTCTAAGATTTCTCTAAGTATCATAAATGGCTTGTAAAGAAAGGCAAACTCATTTTTTCAAGTATGCCATGAATCTTTTTTCCTTGAGATCTCTAGTAATATGTGGTGGGTTTGTTTTGATTATACAATTCATATTGTGAACACCATGTAAGGTTTTCTAGATCTAAAGAAGTTGGAAATAAATGAAAAAGACATCTATTCATGAAATTAGATGCACTTTGAAGTTGAAGTTATTGAGATTTTTAGATTAATTTTAAAATTTGGATTCATTTTGAGTTTCAAAAATATCTTTTACATTCCATCATTGTCTAAAAATATGGCTTTAGTTTCCTAATTTTATAGTGTTGGCTATGGATTTTTGTTTGATGAAAATATTTTTAATATTTTTAAAAAAATAAATTTCTATTGATAGTGGAATATTAATCGATGGTTCATATAAAATTGATTTAAACTCTACTTTCGCACTCAAATATTTACCAATTCTTGTTAATGTTATAATTAGAAAGAGTAAAATTAATGAGAATTCTTCTATGTTATGGCATAAAAGATTAAGCCACATAACCATTAGAAGAATTAAAAGTTTAGTGAGTGATAGACTCGTTAAAAAATTTTAATTTTACTAATTTTGGTACCTATGTAGAGTCTATAAAGGAAAAATAAACTAATAAGATCATTAAAGGTGCTATGAAGAGTTCAAAAATTTTAGAAATCATACACAATAATATTTGTGGACCATTTAATGCTCATTTCCTAAATAATTAAAGATATTTTTTCTTATTCATCAATGACCATTCTAGATTTATGTATCTTTATCTTTTATTTAATAAGGTCTGAAACACTTGACGCTTTCAAGATTTATAAAGCTAAGGCAAAGAAATGAAAGAAAAAAATCATCAAGATTATAAGGTTAGATAGAGGTAGAAAGTATTATGGTATGTATATTGAAAAGGGATAAATACCATGTCTAATTGTAAAGCTCATTGAATAAGATTATATTATCGCACAATATAAACCATCCGACATACCATAAAAAAATAGTGTAGCTAAAAGAAGAAATCACACTCTTATGGACATGATGAGGAGTATGATTAGTTATTTTAATCCATCACTTTGTTTATAGAGTAAAGAATTAAAGATTATTGTGTATATTTCAAACATGATTTCATCTCGAAGTTGTTTCTAAGACACCTTTTAAGTTGTAAAATGGATGAGAGTCTAGTTTAAATCATACTCATGAATGGGGTTATATTGTTAAGATAAGGATTTACAATCCTTAACTAAAGAAATTAGATCTAAGAACAACTAATAGATATTTATTGGTTATATAGTAAATTCTAAAAGACATTGGGTTTATTGTCCTTCTCATGATACAAGAATAGCAAAGGAAAGAAATGATAAATATCTTAAAGATCTTAATCTTAGTGCAAATGATTTTTCTTGACAAATAGAATTTGAAAAAACACAAGTTTTAACTAATTTACATAAAAATACAAGATAATTTGTTATTTTTAAAAAAATTAATATAATAATATTGAATAACAAACAATTCAAGAGCAACTAGCTCTTGATGAGATAAACCCACATAAAAAAAGTTAAATTAATGAGATCTTCAAGAGTAAAGAGACTAATAAATTCTAATAATTGTGTTGTATACCTTTAGGAGGTCCGACCTTGATGTTAGACTTAAAGATAATCCAAACTCATTTTTACAAGTCATGAATGGAGAAAACTCTATTTTATATTGTAGCACCGTAAAGAAATAAATGAAGTCTATCTCTAAAAAAATCAAGTTTAGGACCCTATCAAATTGCTAGAAGTATCTATAATACTTGGCTATAATGAGTTTATAAAACCAAAAGAAATTCTTCTAGTAATATCAAACAATATAAAGCTAGACGTATAGCTAAAAGTTATGCCAAAAAAGGGTACATAAATTATTATAAAACCTTATATTTTATTTATGATGTTACCCTTCATCCGATGAGACTTCAAAAAATTTTAGATTTTCGTGTTTTGAATTGTTTTGAATTATAACACTTAGTATTATAAAACCTTATATTTTATCTATGTTGTTACCCTTCATCCGATGAGACTTCCAAAAATTTTAGATTTTTTTTGTTTTGAATTATTTATGGGGGCTATCGGTTATTATCAATTTTCGTAGTTGCCACTTAGTAGTGTAGGAATTAGAAACCTAAAAATAACACTAGTCTAGAGATTCTAAAATAAGGAATTGATTATGTTTTTAGAAAGATATTGATCACCCAAAAGTATCCTTTTACTAACAAAAGTGCCACTTCTAGCTTAGTCCTAAAATTTATCTCTTAATATGTTTTATCTATGCCAAATTAATTCCAAATCAAACTCAAGTCTTTTTTCCTATACCAAATTAAGTTTTTCATTTTTTATTTGTGTCATTGTATTGAACTAATTTTCGGACCCCTTAATTAGGAAACACATCGGTTCAAACATTGGATCTACTTTAAGTCTCGATATAACCGATATGTCAAAGAATGCCCTATTTACTAGAGTAATTGATTTGAATTGATAAATAACGTATGTCCTTATTAGATAGGAGACTCATTAAATTTGCTTAAAACTCTTTCTTTTTTTGTTCTTTTTCTTAATTAAACTAAAGGTTTTTTATTTCGAGACATGTGAGAAAAAATATCATCAAACTCATTTTTTTATATTCTTTTCTTTTGTAGCATCTTGTTAAATTAGGCCTCGAGATTTAGAAGTCTTGTCAATTTAGCATCGATCCAAATTGATTCCCCCTCCCACACACGAGATAGATATATACATACATACATACATACATACATATGTATGTATGTATGTATGTATGTATTAGTATTTTTTGTTGGATAACACATATCGAAATCAACGTCTCTCCCTAATAAATAGAAAACTTATTGATCCGATATCGCAACCAAATTGAAACCATGGATTAAAGTAAATTTCACACCTTAAATATTTCTAGTTTTTTCTAACACATAAACAAAAACTAAAAAATTATTATATAAAAAAACAACACAATAAAATAAATTAAAAAAAGTAAGAAAGAAAAGAGAGTGGTAACTGAAAATGACCAAAATATCATGTTTGAATGTCGCTAAAAATGACTAAATCATCCCTTTTAATGGCAAAGATGAGACCGCACTTCGTCGTTACAAAATGAGGAAGCTCGCCCTTACTAGCCTCTTCTTCCTCCCCTCATGTTCAATTCTCAACCTCTTTTTTGTGTTTGCTCCCTCGTTTCTTGAATATCACTTTGCCTTTCTCTCGCAGCCTTCTTAAGCAAATCAAGCAAAGCTTGTTTGCCACACAATCAATGAATTCACCTTCGAGTAGACTCGGTTCGACCTTCATTGTGGTTAACAACCAACTCATCAAGAACTTGTTCAATTTGACTAGTAACTTTAACACCTTATTCTTCTTTACAATTAACACAAGCTCCTCTCTATCTACTGTTCATTTACTCCCACTCCTTTATAATGCTTGCCCTTTCTCGCTTAGTTTCACCAAGTCATTCTGTTTTAGAACCATTGTTCCTTCACGAAATACTAGATATACATTCCCTTGCACCATTATTCATCCATTCCTAAAAAAATCTGCCTTGCCCTTAACCTTTTAACCTCTTCTAGGTCAAAAGAGTCTTTTTGCCCATTCTCCGATCCAATTGGACCTAGGGACCATTGTCCATACTCACTCTCCCTAGCATTCCAACCCTCTAAAGAACCATATTGGTAATTATTGTGGCTATCAAATGTATGCAAAATATCTATTCAATTGTAGATCTCTAACAAAATTACAAAATAAACCTCTTATTTACTCTAAGATAACTACCAAAACCCTATGAAATAGTTCTTTGCAATGAGATATCATCTAAAATTTAGAAGTAGTTCACTTGCTACCATGCATGGTTTGTGATCGAGACTTTAGAGTACTATCGTTGCCAAATGACTTGTCACAGGATTTGCAAGAGAAATTGCCACCGCATTTAGAAGACTTGGAACCGTTGCCATTTACCGTAGCCTTTCCCTTTACGAGGTGGGGAAGTTACTTGCATAGGCTTCTTAACACCTATTTTCCGAGGAGTAGCTATTTTAGACTTCTTTAAGGACGCTAGTGTATTTGTCGTAGACTCATTGGTCCTTTTCTTTCTTTGCTCAACCTTCATAGGAGTCTTTTTATCTTTACCATCGGACTTGTCATCCAAATCTTCATCAATAAACATACCTTCTTTAGAATCACTATCCTCATCAAAATTGTCATCATCAAAATCATTATCCTTGTTAGAATCATCGTTGTCACATAATGACCTATCGACGATCATAAAAATGAAAAAAAATGTGTAATGCGTAAATGTTAAGTCGCCACTCGGTTTTGAAAAAAGTGAAACTAAGAAAAACTCGGCACTCGGTCTCAAGATTTCTACGTAAGGAGGTTGATTACACAATTGGGGAAGACTACAGTCACCCTAGAGTGCTCTCGTAATAAGGTTACCTTGTGTCTCTAGCTTAGGGAATTCATTCATGTAAATTATCTTTCTATCCCGATTTATGTGCTTAACGATTGGGTTTTTTCTAATCAAATCCTAAGAGAGGTGATTTAATGACCGAAATGAAATTCAATCTCTCGACTAATATGTCATTAGGTCATTGGAGCCCATTTGGAAAGGAAAAAATTAAGGCTAAAAGCCCATTATATATAAATTCTAGTCCCACATAAATGTAAAAATAAAAAATAAAATAAACATGGATCCCGACTCAAATTCACATGTCGAATCATAAAATAAAAAATAAGATAAAATTACAAGTCCATAATGACTAAAAAATGGACATAGGTCTCAAGGCCATATCACTTGCCATGCCATTTTAAAATATAAAACTAGGTTCATGACCAAATTAAGAGCTAAGTCTCGCAAAAAGAAGAAATTAGTAGCACCATAAAATTTTTTTAAATTAACAATAAAAAATAGCCATAAAAAAAAGGTTCATCATTGAAACAAAGTCGATCTCGAGTCCTAAACTTACTCCATCTAGACTAACCTAAACCGGCATCACATAAAATAAACACACAAAGTACAAAACATAAAAACATGTAAAAAATTACGGATCACATAAAACAACTTCATGAAAAATAAAATAGTCATATGCCTTTATAAGGTCATTGGCCTATAAATTCAGATTTGGTTTATTTTAATTTTTTTAAAAAAATAACTAGCCTATTACTAGTTTTATCATTGACCGATAGTTCCTCGAGGACTTGTTAAAAAAAAATACTATATAATATGACAAACAACCCCCTTTTTTATTAAAAAATAATGATAAAAAAATAAAACTAAAACTAAAATAAGAAAAATAAAAAATAAAAAAATCACCAATCCACTATTTCCCATTTGATTTAACATTAAAACACATAACACATCAAAAAAATCTACATTTAGATCCTTTTTATTCTATCACACATAACCTAGTATTCAAGTTTTTCGGATCTTTCAATTACACCTTTAATTAAATGTTTTACATTCAATAATCATACCAATATTCATCATCAATCACATAATTAATATTACCATCCTATGAAACATAGAAACAACAAGAAAAATTATAAAATTCAGATGAAAATAAAATAGGAAATGTCGAAGTGCAAGTTATAATTACCTAAATCGAAATTCGGGGACTAGACCGAATCTATAGGCAACAACGGTGGTGAAACTTTGGGAGGTACATGAGGGCTAGTTTATCATCAGAATGAAGGTTCAAGTGGGGATGAAATCATCTCCGGTGAATGATTTAGGTGGTCCGGCATGCGTTGATCGAAAGTCGGCTAGTTGGGAGCGACGGTGGCAAATTAGATCCGTAGTTAGGAGCGACAGTAGAACTTTAGGAGGTGTATGATGGCTAGTTCATCATCGAATGGAGGGGTTCAAGTGGGGATGCAATCATCTCCGGTGGATGATTCGGGTGGTCCGACGCATGTTAACCGGAAGTCAATTGGTTAAGAGCGACGATAACTTCTTTTGTCGTTGTCTTTTACTTTTCTTTAGGTTGTTAGTTTTTTTTTTCTTCCGGGTGTCGACCTCTCCCTCTCCTTTTTTGTGTATGCATGCATAGTATTTATAGGAGTGCTTCTAGAGTTAACCTAAGATTTTTTTTCTATTCTAATTAGGCTTAGCTTAATGCCTAATCCAAACCCACTCTTTTTTTTCTTTTTCAATCGTAATCTAGGCCTAATTCCTTCCTTTTTGTTTTTTCTTCTTTTTTATTTTTTTATCTTTTATTTTTTATTTTTTTATAAGGGTAAAAATAGAATGATGACAATCGTCATCGATTTACCATCTTTGCTTGGCTCTACAAGAGTAACCTTTAGTTTTTTAGGCTTGGTAGCTTTATCCTTAGCTATAGTAGCCTTCATATCATTTTCCCTTAATTCAAAATCCTCTTCATCACCAAAAAAACTAGAATCATCATCCAAAGGAATAATAACTTGGTAACCACAGAACAAAACACTCTCATTTTTCCAAGAATCGAGGAAACTCAAAATCTTTCTCAAAAACTAAATCAAAAGATAATTAAGGGATGTTTTTAGGAGATAGGGTCCCCAACACAAGCTTCTTATCATTGAATTTTAGAAAAAAAGGAACCGATTCCTTTCCTTGCTTCAACTCACGAATGGCGACTTGAGAAGGATGTGTCATGTGGAAGTCTTTAGGTTCCACTTTAAGAGGCTTACTAACATTGAATTCAATACCCTTGAACTCCATAGACGACATGGTTGATGAGAGAAAATAGAGATTAAAAGGCTTTAAGCTTTGAAGTAGAGAGACTCTATGTGAAAGCTATTGTAGTGAAGGAGTTAGAGTGTAGTTGGGTAGGGAAGGATGAGATTGATGGAGATGATGGTGTGTATGGTAGTGTGAAGGAGAACATCATTAGCGAGTATGAGGGGAAGAGTGTGGATTGTGCATGGCTAAGTAAAAATGAAGATGTAGGGTTTTTGACGGCTATAAGAGGGTGGCTCGTGTAGATGAGAATCAACGATGATGGGGTTAAGGGTGGAGATTTGTTGGAAAGCGAGAGGAGGCGGTTGTCCTAAGCAATTGCATTAGCTAGGTTTTTTTCTTTTCAAAAAATCCAAAAGATGAAAGGGGCTAGGTTAGTTTATTTTTTGGGTAGGTCTAGTGAAGGGTGGCGAGTTAGGTCTTTTTTTGTAGAGACTACATTTCTAGGTTTTTTTTATAGGATAGGAGAATTGTGGAGGCCCCTAAAATGAAAGGAAATAGTTGCTTATATAAGAGATTTTTAGGTTTGAGGGATGAGTCATCTCCTCAATCATTTTTCTTTTTTTTTATTTTTTTTTGTATTACACACACACACACACAAATATATATATATATATATATATTCTTTTTTACACTTTTTTTTATTTTTGTAGTAAATTTCAAAATAAAGGAAAACGAGATAAAATAAAATAAAATAAGAAAGAAATAAATAAATAGTGGAGAAATTTTTGGGTTATAACAATCTCTAAGATTATTCGTTCAAAGTCATAATGAACTACATCGGATGGATCCGAAAAAAATAATAAAAATTTAGATGAAGAGGTATACATGAATCGACCCAAAAGTATTTTTGATGCCACAAATATCTATTTGATTAGTAAACCGAAGAAATCTATAAAGGGCTAAAGCAAGCCTTCCAATGGTAGTATATTAAATTTTACAAGTATTATTATCTCATATGATTTTATTAAAAATATTATTGATCAATGTATATACCTTAAAACTAGTAGAAACAAAATCATTTTTGTCACATATGTAGGTGATATTTTGATTGCAAGTAGTGACTTGAGTTTGTTTTATGAGAAAAAAAAAGCAATTTTTTCTTAATTTTTTTATACGAAGGATTTGGATGAAGTCTCTTATGTCATTGACATAGAGATTCATAGAGACAAATCTCAAATAATATTTAGATTTATCTCAAACCTATATTAAAAAGATTTTGAAAAGATTAGGACATCAAATGATGCATCCTTAGAAGCACTTATTGTCAAAGAGCATAAATTTAATCAACATCAATGTTCACAAAATGCATCGAAAAAAATAATAATAATAGATGAGTAATATTCTATATGAATTTGTAGTAAGCAATTTAATGTATGCACTCGTCCGTACAAGATCCGACTTGACACATGCAATATAAATGTTGAGAATAGTCCAAAACAATCTTAGAATGGAACATGAAAAGTAGTTAAGAAAATCATAAGGTACCTATCTATAAGAAACTAAGGATTATAGACTGACTTTAGGATTATAGACTAACCTAATGACTTACTAATCATCTTAAAGTGGTTGATTATTCAGATTTGAATTTTGTTGGTTATGTAGACATAAGAAAATTTATTTCAAGCTATGTTTTTTACTTTTTTGGAGGAGTTGCATCTTAGAGAAGTACTAAGAGAACTATTATTGCTTCATCTACTATGAAAGAAGACTCCATTGCATGTTATGGAATAACAACACGAGCAATATGGTTAACAAATTTCATTTTTGGTAAAAATTATCGATTTCGCATCTAAATTAGTAAAGATTTATTGCGATAATTCGACCGAGTTTTCTTCTCTAAGAATAATAATAATGAAAGTCAAAACACATATCAACATAAAGTACCTCATTATAAAAGAGAAAATAAAGAAATATAAAGTGCTAATTGAGCATATAATTTTGAGATAATGATTGTAGATCTCATGACCAAAATGCTCCTACAAAACATTCTAGAGAACATGCAGATCATGTGGATGTAGATAACTTGTTTGATGTTTGACTTTATTGTTTTTCATTAATTGTCTAGCTATTTTTTTATATTATTCTTAGATATTGATGTAAATTTTTTGCATATAAAGTATTATTTTCTATATATATTGAGATATATAAAATTAGATCCAAATTACTTATTGAAAGTTTATTTTCTCATCAAGTGTTAATTTTGAGGATGCAATGTATTGTAATGTATGGAAGAAACTACTTGGTTATAAAGTATGATCACTATGATTTGTTTATTGTATTCGTTATCTACGTATAAGTGTTTTCACTTATTAGTTATTCTTAAGAAATATCTCTTAGTTTGACCCATATGGCATGTTTTTTTTTTAATTATTACTATATGTTATTATATATTTTATTATAAATAAAATCTATAAGTGATAATTAAAAGTTTAGAACCTATTAGACTTTAGTGATGGGTTAGACATATACATAATGGATGAAACTATAAAAATTAGGTTCAAGAAAAGGTCCATAATCTAATCATATAAATATTAAATAAAATCATATGTCATTATCAATATTAGAAAACTTAAAGTATTGGCATTTATTATAAAGTATTTTCTTGTTGACAACACATAATTTTTTTTTAACACTTGTTTGAGTACTTACTCAATTATGATAGAAGGCATATATTATATAAATTTATACTGTGATTGTATATTAAGACATGCTTAATTTATTTGTCTAAAGAGACAATAAAGAAACAATATATTCCTATAAAAAAGAAAGAATGAATGAAAATAGAAAGAAATTTTGCATATGAAGGAAGGAATTCAAATGAGATTGTGTAGAAAGAAAGCTTTAGATTTCAAGTGCTAATCATTTTAAAAGCATGTTAAGTAAGTAATTGGGCAGGGAGTCACTTTAGTACGTAGTCATAAATTTACTAGAATTAGAGGTTCATGGAATTTATAATATTGTCTATCTATCAAACTCATGTCTGCCTTATCTTTACTTTTTGAGTTTGCCTTTGTTTAAACTCTAAACATGCCAATGAACAAAACAGGGACGTCTACATTAATGCAAAAACCAATTAAGTGTGTTAGGTAACCAAGGATGATTTTCTTGTCTTGGAAGCTATTACAAAGTTCTTCTACTGTCTCATTGATCATGATCAAAAAGTTTCTTCAACTATATATCTAGTGGCTGGTGAGACTTTTCAATATTTTTGCTTAGCTATGTGTTATACATTTCTTATTTAATTAAAATGTGGACAAATATTAAAAACTTAACTGGATCTCTTCTTTTGAGAAAAAAATACGTGTCTTTAATTTTGACTTTTAAATATTCAATTCGAAATCCAAAAGAATGTAAATAAATTGCTTATAATACATATCATTAGTTCTTCTTTATTGTTTGGGTTATAATATTCATCCTTGGTTGTGCTCACGTTTGTACGTATTTCTATTTTAAGTTTCAAATTATTGGTAAGTGGCCTTAATGGTGGATTTATGTTCATATATATATATGTATCCGTAAATAATTACTTTCTTAAATTGATGCTGAACATAATATTTAAGGTCAACTAAAATGCTTATGTGCTTTACGAATTAGAATTAAATTAAAAATTATAAAAATACATATTCATAAAGATAAAAGAAGAAAAAATATTCTAGGCCATTTAGGCTAGAAACCCACTTGATGATTATTATTATTATTATTTTATATAAAAAACAGTAAAATTATACCATTCATGCTTGATAATTCTATGCAATATCTCCCCCTCTTCTTTTTCCTTCGGGCACGACAAAAATATTTGTACTCGTGTAGCCAATGTTCATGCAAGGTATTTATTTTGTGTCAAAACACATACACTGCAGTACATATCAGTTAAATACATAATATACTAATTAAAACTAAAATTCAAAATACTCTTTTAGACGTTGTAATTATGACTGCATTACTAATCAGATATCACAAATAAATAAATTAGAAGGTTTTTTGCCGTCATGCTACCTTTTTAGATCAGCGGATCTGTCATTTTCCTCACCGAACACGTACCCAATTTTTTGGTTTTTTTAAGCACACAACAAATTTGAGTGAAAAAGACTACATTATCCCCCACAATCTCTAATGATAAGATCCTAATTTCAGGGGGCATTTTCAGAATGCTGTCAACTTCTAATTACCTTGCAAAATTATTATATAGTATATAACAAGGCAAGATGTCCTACTAAAAGTAGCCAGCTTAAATTTCAAATCCAATGAGAATCTCTGTGGTTGGTCACAGGCTTGGCAAATGTATGTTTGTCTGTATGTTTTCTTTGATTCTCTTTTTTGAGAACACCATTACCAAACCAGTCTCAACTCAGATCCCAATGACGAAAACGTCAGAAGCCAGAAAAGATGAGCAAGAACAACAACAAGAGGAGAAAGCGCTGGCCATATGGGATTTAGGCAGTCCTTTATATGACTCGTATGAATTGGTGTCACTCACTCATCTCATTGAACGGCACCTAATGACACTGCCATCTCTTGGAGGATCAAAAAGGCTCTCGTCGACCAAGAAAATATCTCCAGCATCCGATCATGATCATGATCTTCTTGTCATCCCTGCTGCAATATTCGTGTCAAATATGGGCACCAAAAGAGAAACTAAACGGGTAGGTTCTTCTGTATTGAACACCTTGAGTGAATTTGTGAGGAGAAAGTTGTGGATAAAGAGGAAGATTGGATCATACAGCAAGAAGGGTAAGTCCAAGAAGTTGAAAGCAGCTGGACATTCTTGTATTAGGTTTGGTTTGTGAAGGCAACAGCTAGAAATAATACAAAAAATGATCAATAAAACAGGCAATTGACCATTTTGATTGCTTGTATGAGATCGTACTGTGACCGTTGCTCTGTTCATTGATTTATTTCTCTCTCAAATGGATAGATATCTCGTCTGGATTTCTCTTCTTCATAATATATAAGTAGAATTTAATATTGTACCTATTCAATCTATCAAATATTTGATCCTGGCTGATTATATTGCTCAAAATCTTACAATTAAACAAGAGTAACGTCTGTATATGCTCGCAGACATACATTAATTAATATCATTCCCCGTAATTACAATGTTAAGACAGGGTTAACATTCTTTGCACTCATGGTCACTAAACGTTTTGAGTGTTCTAATCCCAAACTGCGAGACGCCAGATTTTGATTTATTTGTTTTAAATCCTGGGATGTCAGTTTCAGTTCATTTTATAGAGTACTTGAAATTAACTTCCGATTTTTCTCATTGACTCATTGTCGAACGTCGTAGTTATAATTCCTTTTTGACTTGTTAATTAGAGCATGAATGATGAGCCTCTTCGACCAATCGAGCATTCATTGAGAAACTTTTCTTCTCTTTTGTTTCGGATTAGAACTCTTTTTCTTTTTTTCATTTTTGAATCATGTAGTATTGCTGTATCAACTTGCAGCCGAAACTAAAAGCATCTTTATGTCTGATTTCATTAATCCAAACACATAAATGGTATTTTTTAATCAATTTGTGCTTTAATAAATTTTTTATGTGGATGAACTTAACGTTTAAAGAAATGGTCTCAAAATGCAAATTGAGAGAGTCAATGAAAGAAACATATAATTTTTTTTTATCAAAAAATCCATGAGATTTGGGTTATAAAACCAGAATAATCATCTTTTATTACATAATAAGTAAATAAATAAATTGAAATCATTAAAATTCAAATTTATTTCACTAAAAAAACTATCGAAAACACAACCATTAAAACTATATCTAATTTTATAAAACATACTTTGTTAACCACTGCACCGACCTCTCTACGTTTTTCAACGAATAAATTTTCCTTTTTTTGTATTTTATCAATGACTAATCTTCCTTTTTTGTACAGCATGAATGAGAACGTTTTGATTCTATATAAGGGTCAAAAGTTTAGGATATCCCTCTATTATTTCAAATTGTTTAATCATTTTCTTTTATTTTCAATTATTATGTTTCTCTACTCTTAATTATATATACATTTAATCCCTCTAATCATTTTTTCAGACAACAAAAATAAAAATAACAAAACAAAAAATGTTAAAAGTTGTCTCTATTGTTTGAAAAAGTGATGGAATGAACCAAATGAAGACGTAATTAAAAATAAAGAAATACAATAATTGAAAAAATTAATATAAAGATATAATTAACACATTTGAAACAGTAAAGTGACATAGAACTTTAATCCCTAAATAAATTAGCCACTTTTAACTTGCAAGCTGGTGAGCCTAGCTCGCTAGCAAAGCAGGGCTTGTGCCTTTTGGGCTATTTGGAGACCCATCTACAACAGCTAGATCTTCTCGTATCTTGTGAGAAATATCTAGATCCTCAAATCTAAGTGGAGCCCGATTTAATGGAACCGACAGCCCAAATCGTTCAAGTCGTAGAGCTAAGAGGTCTGCCCATTTACTCGAAAATTGGTCCACCCAATTCTACCCTTGGGCTGGATTACTCAATTCTCGAACTAGCATCAGGAAATTGTGCATATTTTAGGCAACATTTTTTTTGAGGTCAAAATAAAGCAAACATCCTCACAAATCCTTAAGGAAGCACCTCAAATAAGACCTCAGAGGAGATGGGAACAAGAAAGTCTGAAGCACGCAGCCATAAAAATCAGCAATATCAAATACATAACTGACAGAACCCTGGTTCAGTCTGTATCCTTCCTGTAGAAAGAAATTTTGGGATCAGTGCGTACTCGTTGGAAATATCAAAATTAGTGTGAATATATGACTTCGAGCTGTGGTTGAACTGTGCAGAAAATGCAAGCAGCCAAGGAGTACAAGTAAATTTGGGTTTTGAAATTTAGGTATCTCATGTAATGTGAACCTGTGAGACGTTGCGGTACAATTTGCTGCGTGAGGTTCTTTACGCATAATTGGTCAAGAAAAAAAGAAAAATAAAAGCCAGCGGTGATTGTTGTTTTAGAGAGCACGCTGAGTGACGGATTAGTCGAAATCTAACCTCCCGAAAACATGATTGCAGCGTAATCTAGAGTATGCAAAGCATTTTACACGATAATTCGTGTTGAAAGGAAGACCGTGGTTTGTCAATTTCTAGTCCTCGTTATATCCAAATTCAAAGTTCTTAAGCATATATATGATTAAATTATACTTTAGTTCCAGAGTTTTTAATACAGTTTTAGTTTAGTATTTCTTATTTGAAAACCTATTTCTTATTATTTTAAGTTTTATTAATCGTTGTGCTTTTTTCTTTAAAAAAGAAATAGATAAGATTTTCTCTAAAAAATTAAATTATCAAATAGTACATTTGGGATTAAGAAATAAAAATCAAAATATGTTTTAACAAAACGATGGTCATAAGAATCAGCTATCAATTAAGAGGCTGAACTATAAATTGTCAAATAAAGGATTAAGTTATAATCACGTTCATCCTATCGATTTAAAGAATAATTTACTCAGACAATCACCACAATTAGATGGCATGTTGCTGGCTGTTTAAAAAAGCCTTGAGCAATCAAGAAATTGATTTGATTTGTGCTGTGGACCTTAATTTTGCATGTCACAAGCCTCTCAATTTCGTGCTAAGATTATAGAAATCGGATTCTTTAAATTTTAAAATTAGCCAACCAGGCATTGATCGATTACCTCTGGAATGCCAACTTGCCAACCTGCATTCTCTTTATCAACTCTTGTTAAACCTTTACCTGCGCAAGTGAGCAGAGAGCAAATCAAGATTCAAGTGGGAGTGAGATATAATTGACTTTTTATATTGAGATATTGACTTCCATTATAAAAATAGTTAACAGTGGCAGGAGTCTCTTTACTTTCTTTTTTTACAATAATTTTTTTTCCTAATTTTAAGTTCATTTCTCTAGGATTGATTGGTGTTTTGATCATATTTTTTGTTATTTTTAGGCTAATGATGTTAAATTACATTGTTATCGTTCTAGAATTGTGATACATGTCAATATTTTTTTCTCAATCTCGTCTTTCTATTTTCTTTTTTTTTTTAATCAAATTTAAATGAATAAATTTTGAAAAAAAAATTGATAAAAAGAAGTAAAGATGAAATTAATTTTTTTATCTAAATTAGTCATTGTGGATTTCAATTTATTTATATGATAGTAAGCAAATTTTGATTATCAAATGAAATATTTATAATATTTAAAAAAATATATCAAAAGAGCTTTAGTTACAATTTTTTAAATAGTATTTATAATTTTAAAATATCTCAAAAATTATATATTTTTTTTCAAAACTCTGTCAGTATATCCTGTAGTAAAATAGAAAAAAAAAAAAAAAAAGCAAGTGTAAAGTGAGTCAAATACAAAATTTATGGGTAATGACGATGTTGCGAGTCGGATAAAATACAGAAAATTATTTTTAAAAATTATTTCATTTTGATATCTAGTGTCATATTGTGTGTTTATCAAAATATATCAAATAAAAATTGAATAAAAATTTATTTAATTTTATCGATTTTTAATCAAAATTTTGTATTTGACTAATTATTCTTTATATTTTCATAAATATTCTTTATATTTATTTATCTCTATCCATATTTTTGGCTAAAACCTTATTTTGTAAATTTTTTTTCTAAATATATTTTTACCTTCAAATTTTTAATTAAGAATCAGAAAAAAACCAAGGACCAAAATGAAACAAAAAAGTGGGACCGAGTCTAATAAAAAATATTTGCAGATTAAAAAATAATATTAAAAAAAAAACCAAAGTGTAATGTCACAAAAATTTTCATAATAAATATCTTAAAATATTTGAAAACTATAAAAATACCACTACATAATGAAATAAATAGTGTATATAAATATGGGTGAATAGTATGAATCAATCTAGATAAACATTATTTCAAATAATACGAGTGAATAGTAACTAATAGTTTTAGTTTATTTTTTTATTTTTTTGTAATAAGTGTTCATCTATCTTTATATTTTGAAATAAGCAAATTATTTTTTATCATTTTGAGTCATTTTCAAATTTATTGTTTTAATGATATTTTCTAGCAAAATCATAAAAAAAAATGTCATGCACACAATTAATTATATACCAATAATACCCTTCAATTGACATGTGCAAATTACCACCCAACGTCATTCTCTCTCCAACTTTGGCCACAGGGAATCATTACCAAACCCATTTTTATGGATAAAAAGTTACAAATATGTGGTGGTAGGCTTAGGTTTTGATTACTAAAAGGTGTTTGAGGGAGTAGGTGGCTGGAAAATGAAAAAAAATGACAATTTAATGGTGCCTAGTGAATTAGAATTAGATATTGGCCTAAAAAAAGCGAGGGGAATGTGGAAAAGATCCACTTTGAGGTTTATGAATGTAGATTGACAAATTATGACTTGAGAAAATATGGAGTTTTGATTAGAAAAGAAGAAGAAGAGAGATTTTACAAATGACTGAGAAAGTAATAGAATTGATTGTTTTGGGGTGTTTTTTTTTTCCAACGTATACTATCATTCTCTTTAAAAACTTAAAAAAAAATTAAAAAAATGTGAAGATAAAAATAAAAATATTTTTTATGAGCTTAATTTTATTTATAAGTAAATTTTGAGTATCAAATAAAATATTCATAATATTTTTTTTGAATACCAAGAAAGTTTTAGTTAAAAATTTAAAATTTTGAATAATATTTATAATATCTCAAAAGAATCTCTTATAATTTATTTATTTTATTTTATAAATTTTTAATTTGACTTAGAGTGAGAATATAATTTATTTTAGATTTTTTTTGTGAATAATCACTCAAAAGTGGTTAAAAGATTGGATACATCTTCATTTTAAAAAAATAGTTAAAAAATAGAGGAATGAGATTAAAATAAAAAATAAAGTGGACATGTATCACAATCATATAGTGTTAATGATGCGATTTAGTACCGCTAGTTCAAAAAATTAATGAAAAAAATTATTAATACATAAATCAAATATAAAAAGATAAAATTAAAATTAAAAAAAAAGTTAAAAAAAAATTGAGAGAAAAAGGAAGAAGAAGAATACTTACTTGTAGATTTATTATGATAAGCATTTTGAAGCCGTAACTAAAGCTGTTAATGATGCGATTTAGTACCGCTACTTCAAAAAATTAATGAAAAAATTATTAATACATAAATCAAATATAAAAAGATGAAATTAAAATAAATAAATAAAAGAAAAAAAAAACAGAGAAAAAAGAAGAAGAAGAAGAATGCTTGCTTGTAGATTTGTTATGATAAGCATTTTGATGCTGTAGCTAGAAGTGCAGGCCATATAATTTGCGACCTATACTGCCGGACGAAATGGTCTCATAATGATTAGCATGTTTTGTGAATTTTTTTGTCTGCATCTGACATTAAACAAATAATTTAAATTAAATAATGAGTACCAAACATCTAACAATATGATAATAAATTTCTCCTTTAATTCCTTTCCAATTAAGTTTCCAATTGAAGATTTGCCTTTACTTGTAAACTTCGCTTAGAAGCATGATGGTTCTCATACCAGCTACTAATCAATTGACGTCAGTTTGTTTTGATTTCTTTTATCTTTTATCTTTCTTTTTATCTTTTTTTTTTTTTTTAACTAACAGAATTAGTATGTACTTGTCAACTGAACTTGTAAAATATGAAATTTTAATATCAAAAGTAATATCAAAATTCACTAATGAGCAGAAACACAATTTTCATGGGTAAAAATTGACTTCAAATATCCTTATTTTTTACTATTCAGGGATTAGATGTGTGTGAGAGAGAGAGAGAGAGAGCGCGACTGCTCGGTCCTTCCAATTAAAGTTGCGTTTGATATATTGGCCAAAGGGTGGAGACCATTAGCACAGTGAACCATAACATGTAAAGTTTATTGTAGCCAGCGGGTTTCGTACTTTACTAAAACGCACAACCTTACCTAACGTGTACCCCATCTTATGCTTTTAGCCTTTCAAGTCAAAAAGCTCCCAACTAAACCGTTTTTTTTTTTTGCTTTTTAAAAAAGAACGTTCTAGTATTTGTTTCATTCCATCAATGATCAAAACCAACCAAAAAATTGATTTGTTGGATAGACCCTTCTCTCATAAATTGATTCATCTAATTCTAATTGAATCAACCTTTCTACATCATAAATTGATTCATCTAATTCCAAAACTGCCCTTTGCTAGCTTAACATCATTGCCTGCCCAATTAAGTGCCGGCCATTAAGAACTCCAGTTTGGAACCAGAAATTTAGGTTGTAGTGAAATTCAAAAATTAATAATTCACAGCTCAAAAAGTCAAAAACTTAGATGTTGTGGCAGCGATGCAGGCGAGGGACTGACAGTGATGAGAAGGGTAAGGGTTAGGGTCCATTTGGTAGAAAGGGCCCTGGCTGGTGTGGTTGTGGGGCAGCGAATCAATTTAGTCTGGTCATAACTCAGACATTGTCAGGTTCTGATTTTTCTTTTCTTTTACTCGGCTGCCACTCTCACTTTCTCCTTTTCACTTCTTTTCACAACGGCCAAAACCATGCTTTCCTCTCACCAGTCGCTAACAACAACCCAGAAAAGCAAATAAATCAGATATTACATTTACTAGTTGGAACTAAAAAATAAAAAGATGGAATAAAGCTAAAGAACAAAGAACAAAGAAACTCAGCAGTGAATTGCCATCCACCTTTTGCTTCTTCCACTCCAACGCGAGTCTAAGATCCTTTTAACATTGAAGATTTTATTTTTTGAACAATTAGCTGGCAAGTTAGGATGGTAAAATCAAATGAAAGATTTTATTGAGTTACTAACAGTGTCAGTCGTGACCACTGAAATCTTCATCTTATATCCATCATACACTGCATAACGACTTTTATATTTTAACATCAGCAGCATTAACGTTAAAATTCACATTATTAGTAGATATAGAGTTACTTAAATTTTGAGTCCTCAGACTACAGTTATTGAAGGTTTGATTTACCAATCCATCTATATAAACCACACCGACAATAATATTGATAAATTTAGATACTAAACCACACCAATCTCAAAAGCTAATTATTATAATTTCATTTTTTTTAAGAACTCTCCAGTTTCCCCTCCTGGTCTATCCTAGCTACCCACTAGAGATGGAGATGGAGTTTCTATTAGGATAATAACCTCCTCTTTATGGACAATGACACTCAAAGAGAATAGGTGTTTCAATTGAATTTCTTGAAAAACAAGATAGCTATTGTTCATTTTTTTTTTTAAATGAAGGAGAATGTTACGGAAATACGTGGCTCTTAGTGGCATGGAAGAACTTTGAGATGATAAAACCTAATTTGGATCCTCTTTTATGTTTCTTTTAATTTAGTTAGGTTTGTCATTTTAATTGTAATTCTAGTCTTATTTTATTTTTCGAACGATTCGAAGATGAGAAAGATGTGATTAACATAGTTTAAAATTGTCATTCAATTGTGTTAGTTTAGTATTTTAATTTTATCTCTTTGATATTGATTGTGAAAACAAAAAATTGAATTCCATATTTTTTTAAAAAAAATTATTAAGATCTTTTGATTAAGGATGCTGTAGAAAAACAAGATTCAATGTTTTGAAAGAAAAATATTGAAATCTTTTAATCGAGATTGTCGTAAAAAAAATCTACATACATTAGACATAAATAAGATAAAAATCTTCAAATACACTTTAGATCAAGATGTCTCGTTTTGTATGTTTTTTAATAACTGGATTTGTTTGTGTTTTTGTTTTATCAATGTATTTTATAATTCATGGATTTTATATTTTTTTAAAAACCAAATTAAATGAATGATAGAAAAAGATTAAAACTTTTAATTGGTAGAGTTATTTTTAGACTTGGAAAAACTTACACAACGTGAAAGGAATACTCCTACAGCCTCGTATACTAGTAGGAGTATTTACTCGGTTTATTTTTGAGTTGAGCAATAATTTCCCACAGGAACTGCCATAATAAAAAGTTGGAGAGTTGATAGCCACATCCAAGCAAAAAGTCGCCGATTTATTACTTTCCTCTTTTTCGCTTTAAACCCAGACAAGCATCGGTTCCCTAAAAGGAATCTGTGCTGTCCAAACATACGACGTCGTTAAATCTCTTTCAACTCCCAAACGACGCCGCTTAAAGCTTTCTTTTCGTTCCCACTGAAACATTGGAAAACGATCCCCGTGAATTGTGTGTCTCTCACCCTTTTTTTTTCCAAGAAATGGAACAAACAAACAAGCACAAAGTAACAAACAGGAGTAAATTATAAATTAGTCCTTTTAAAAAAATTAAATAGTCTCTCTTATTTAAAAGATAATTAATTAATCTTTTAACGAATGATTAATTTATATTTACTATTATTTTGTTCAAAAAATATTTTTTTCCCTCATCAATATTTTTAATTATTTTTTATATTTATTAAAAAACAAAAAAAAAGAAATTAAAAAATATGAAAAGGATTAATTTACAAATATTAAAAAATATAAGGACTACTTAATTATTTATAAAACCAAAGAGACTATTGAATTCCTTTTCTAAAACTAGAGGAACTCATTTATAATTTACTCTCACAAACAGAGCATAAACATAGAAAATCAGAGACACGACAACGACAACTACAGCAGCAGCATTTCACAAGTTCAAAGGTTTCTCCTAAGAAAAATCTCCCTTCTCACTATTTTCCTTTTCGTGTTTGGTTCCTCAGAAAAATAAAAATAAAAAAGAACAAAGACGCAAAGACAAAAGTCTTTCTAGAAGACTATCATTTTCACCTTGTCTTCTTAACCCTTCGATCTCCTCAACTTCTTTGGTTTCTCAGTAACTCTTTTTCTTTCTTTCTTTCTCTTTGTTTTCATGTTAAAAATGTCCTCCTGTCAAACTTGGTTGAAAGGTCGCTGTTATTGCTAGTGTTTGTTTGTTGTTTGTAATTAGCTGTCGTTTTGTATCATTGTTTATATCAAAAAAGAAAATATTTTTTTGAATGTTTCATAGTAGTAGTAATAATAATAATGGCGGAGTCAACGAAAGTGAGGTTGGTGCGGTGCCCAAAATGTGAAAACCTTCTTCCAGAGCTTGCTGATTATTCTGTTTATCAGTGTGGAGGTTGTGGTGCTGTTCTTCGAGGTACTTGCTTCTCTCTCTCAATTTTCTGTTTATTTGATGAGAAACTTAATTAGATAAATGAAGGGAGAGATTATGTTCTTAGTTTTGGATTTTGTTTTTATTTGGTTACTCAAAATGTAAATTTTTGGCTTTTGTAATAAAATTTGGTGTCTGGCTGATTATTTCCTTTTCAGTTAATTATGGAGTATTAGTAGTAAGCTATGGTGCATTATGTTTGATTTAAGATTTTTCTTTTCTATGAACAAAAAATTGGTTTTTGCTCATCTTATTAGCTGAAATGTGCTATTTTTTTCCCTTGCTCATTTGTAATTCCTATTCTATTGATCATGAAACCAAAGAGAGAAGAAGAAATTAATAAATTGAATCATCTCTGTACTTGCTGGAGAATTTTTTTTTGGGGGTCAAGTTTTGAGAGTGGAGTTTATTGTTTATGTGAAATGCAGCCAAAAATAAGAGTCGGGATACAGATAATTTATCATTGGAGAAATCAGATGAAGATAGGGTAGCTGGAGTTGTTACCAGCTCGCCAAATTCTGTGGAAAAGGGAGTAGTTGAATTGAGTGATGCTTCTGATACAGATGTTAAGTTGAATTCTAGTTCTTTGAGATGCGAAGATAAGAATCCTACGAAGAGCGATATTGACCGTGATGATATGTATAGGAATCCAGCTAAGTCTGCAAGTGGTAAATGGGCTGTTGGAAATGGTCTTGAAGATGATAGGAATAGAGATGATTGGGGTGATGCGGTGGCAAGAGAACCTGGTGAGATGAATTTGCAGAACAGATATACTAGTGGTCCTCGGAGATCTGGACAGATGCTGGGTAGGCAACATGGGGAGAGAGGTGAAATGGAGGGTTTTCGAAGAACCTTGAGAACTGAGGTTGAAGGCATGAGATTTTCAACTTCAAAATACTCAGATGAGGGCCCTTCACATTACAATTTTAACTCTTCTTATAGTTATGGTGAACAATCAAGGAATGGTGATGACCAGAGTGGGGCTGGTAGAGTTCAGTACCTTGAAAAAGATCGAGCAGAGCTTCTCAGGAAGCTGGATGAGCTAAAAGAACAACTTGGCAGGTCCTGTGATGTGGCTGATAAAACCAACGAGAAGGTTCCTCTTAATGGAAGAATGGCTCCTCCAGATTCTCATGGTAGTTCTGATACTTGGTTTGCAGGTAGTTCTTCATTGTCTAATAGGGCTTCAATGCAGTTCTTTGCACCTGAAAGGCATGCCACAGAGCCCTCTTATTTAAATCACCATCCTGAGTCTTTTGCTTATACTAATGGGCATGAGATGGCTATGAATAGCTTTCATCCTTCAGTGCCTAAGTCAAATCTTATTCCTGGATATGGGGATTCTTTTGGGTCCCAAATTCCAAGGAGAACTCCGCATCAGTTACCTGGTCAATACCAACAACCACCTCGCCAATATTTTTCCGGACATTACTTTGATACCAACCCTGATTTATTTGAGCCATATCCATCCAATGCAACCTTTCATCAGCCTTCTTGTTCTTGTTTCCATTGCTATGAGAAGCATCATGGAGTTTCAGCACCAGTTCCTCCTGCTTCTTTTGGCAATAAAAGGTTCCCTGATATGCCAAACAATCCCATGATGTACCAACATGCAAACTCCGGGCCATTTGGCCCACATATGAATCATTCCAGGATTACTGTTCCTTCTCAATTGAATTTTCGTAGTTCTCAATCCCACTCAAGATGGCCAAGTGATCTCAACTCTGAAATGGCTGGTTTTGTTCGCTCTCGCCCTCGAAGAGTGGTCTTAGCCAGTGGTAGCCGATGTTATCGTCCCATAGCTGGTGGCGCTCCATTTTTAACATGTTTTAATTGCTTTGAACTGCTGCAACTTCCCAAGAAAGCACTACTTATGGCAAAGAATCAACAAAAGATGCAGTGCGGCAACTGTTCTAGCGTAATCAATTTTTCTGTTGTAAACAAGAAACTTGTACTTTCTGTTAACACAGAAGCAACAGAGACTCCTACAGAGGTTGATGACAGCTCCAGTGAGATGATAAAAACCCGCACTTCATATTCCCAAGGCCACATTAACCGTATAAATGCAATTTTCTCTTCTGATGATTATGATAATTCTGGCTATGACTTCCAAACAGTAGAAACAGATCCAATAGGCCACCATCTGAACTCAACCAATCCTCAGGAGACACAAAGTTTCCGTTCTTCATCTCCAAGTACATCTGAGTATGAAAATAGCCCAGACATTTTAATTGCACCCCGAGAGGTCATCAATGGTGTTCAGCAACCAATTAAAGCCTCGCTGTCTCCACCACCTCCTGGTACACCACTTCAGCAGCATTTTGATTATTCTTCCAATAATCATGCAGTGAACCGATTTGGGAAGGGAAACCGAAGCAGTCGCTCAGATCATGAAAGGGTGATAACAAACAAGGCTAACACACGACAAAATTCTATGAAAGAGGCTTCCCTGGCGACTGAGATGGAGGTGTCATTTCCTGATTATTCTAATACTGCAGTTTCCCAAGACTCAGGTGATGCAGGCAGAGAAGATAGTCAGTCAAGAAACAACAAAGGGGGTGATTCGTTTTTTGCGAACATTATCAAGAAGAGCTTTAAGGACTTTTCCAGATCTCACCAAACAGACGAGCATAGTAGAAATAATGTCTTTGTTAATGGGCATCTCATACCAGACCGTTTGGTGAAGAAAGCTGAAAAACTGGCTGGACCAATCCATACAGGACAGTATTGGTAAGTTTGCATTCACATGCGCCTGTTGTTGTTGCAAATAGGAATGCTACTAGTGCTTTTGTCTTAGGATTTAGATTGGAGTATAATCCATGTGCTTTGTAAACCTTGTAAATGATTTTTCATGCATGGAAACCTAAATTATTTATTAATTGGTGTAGCTATTGTATGTGTTTCGGTATGTTGCGTATGTTTGAAGTGTGCTTAGTGCTGGCTGGATGCTCGTTATTTTTGTGCCTCGATTATATTAGGGTTTTGCTTATAGTTCTAGAAGGGATTAAAAAAGGTTGGTTTAATGGTTTGGTTTTTACTATGTTCCTGAACCAGGTATGATTCCCGAGCTGGATTTTGGGGTGTTATAGACGGGCCGTGTCTTGGCATAATTCCTGTAAGATCAACTACATTTTTTTTTTTGGTGTGAATAGCAGTTTATTATCATTGTGTAGTGGTCTTATTAGTAATATTTATGAAATTGTTATTTCTCTTGCAGCCATTTATTGAAGAATTAAATTATCCCATGCAAGAAAATTGTGCTGGTGGGAATACTGGTGTTTTTGTAAATGGAAGGGAGCTTCATAAGAAAGATTTTGATTTGCTGGCTAGTAGAGGACTGCCAACTGATAGAGACAGATCTTACATCGTTGAGATCTCTGGAAGAGTCCTGGATGAGGACACTGGAGAAGAGCTAGACAGTCTTGGCAAACTTGCTCCAACGTAAGTTCAATACTCCACTGTTCATTTACCGCATTTCCTTTTGCTTGTCAGTTTATTGAAGAACGAGAATGGCATTTTAGTCCTGCCTTCAACTGTTTTACAATGGGTGTCACATGTCAACACCATCTGATTTTAATCATTGCCAATGTCATAAAGAAAAACGAAAGGATCACAGCAACATCATGCTTCTCTCTCTGCATTCATTCTGAATGTTTTACCAGTGTTGAAAAGATTAATATGTTTCAGAGTTTGAATATAGACTATGCAGTAAAAATAGTGTTAAAATCATCTTCAGTACATATGCACTGCAGATGATTTTGACAGTATTTTTATGCAAGTGCTTGTTAGATTCATCCACTGCATTTTCCCTACTATTTGCATGTCTGGGACACAATCTGACTTTGTATGAATAGGTAACGTCACTTCCTAACAATACCAAATAATTGCTTAGTTACTTTTAGATTCTGGTCAATCAACTCCAGTTTTTCTTATCCTTTTGTATTATTAGCCACCTAAAAAGGAAAGTTTGCTATTTTTAACCTATCATCTTTGAGAGGAATGCATTTAATCTATTTCTCCCATGATAATGAGCTCGTGAGTCCATTACATGGGATGAAACTACACATCCATTCTTTCCTTGAAGGTTGCTGTTGTGTCATCTAATATTTTTTACAGAAAACAAATATGTTAAGAAATCGGAAGTATATAATCTCATTGACTTTCCATACTGAACAGAGTTGAGAAAGTAAAGCATGGATTTGGCATGAAAGTTCCAAGAGCTGCTGTGCGATGATACTGTAGAGGTCAAAAACTTGTAATGTGGCTTCTGCAATGCGGGAACTCTGGAGCCATACTGTATTGGAATTTGTATTCACCATCACAGCTGATTCATTCAAAGGATCTGGACAAAGTGTTGCTGACATTATAATACATGAGTGATTATATGTTGGACGGTAGGTATATCCCAATTTTCTGGAAACTATTCTTAAATATAAGGCTTGATATTTGATATTTTGTTGTCAATGTATGTTGATTGTTGCTCATCTAAAAGTGATTTTGTGTTATGACTTGCCTAAGTGGATGTAATTATGCAATTCTTTTCCACACCAGACATTTTTGTTAATGCTTGTTATTTCATTGTTTCAGTTTTGTTCGTTCATCGAGTAAAAATTTAAGTCACCTCATTTCTGTTGTAAAATCAGCAGTGAGGAAGTGCTGTAGGTGGAGCACTAAATGGTAATAATCTTCATAGTAGTTCACGATTAAAAATGACTTCGAAATTGAGCAATGCTATCCATGTAATTTTTATCCAACCAATTGAAGGTATCTTTTTAGTATGTATGTTATGACAACGCAATTTGCTTCCCCAATGGAGCTATTTTGAGGTGCTTCTTTAACCTGTGATTATCCTGTCGCCTGTTTACGGGCCTTTCCCCTACATATATATGGCCTGTCAAAGCTTAGACAACGAGCTAGGACTTGCAGTATAAACAATCCATGAAGTTAATTTCTCTGCAGATTACAGGAACATATGGTAGTTAAAAAGTAAAGGTAATTTCTTTTGTTAAATCAGATGTGTGAAAGATGTTCAACCAGTTGTGTGACAATTGGCGTCGTAGCTCTGTTTTAACCGAACTTCCGAACATCCGGTCATTTGTTACGGACTTCTGTATGAAATTAATAATAATCGAGATTTCGAGACAGTTTTAAGGCATTTTGCTATCTCATGTGGGAGGACATTCCAAGTCAATGCCTTTGAATTTCTTGAAAGAAGCTTGAGAAAAGGGTTTTTTCCTTCTCCCATTGGAACTGTTCGACCTAAAAGAATATACAACTATCCTGAGACTGGGTTGGTGTTAACGAGATTGGGCCAGTCAATCATTGGTCTATCAGAACAGAAGAAACAGGGGGCCATGCACTTAGTTTATTTGTAGGATCCTTGTAAATGCAAACAATAATTGCCCCACAAACACATGATCAGACTCACCGCAGTGCTATGTGGGCCTACCTCTTGGGCTCATCTTCTTCTGAGCCTAGTTGCCAAGGATGGGCACAAGGGCCGCATTCCAAAGTAGATTACCTTTCCTACCCTTTAGTTTTTCTAGCATGGGATAGAAGTACGTTCATTTTCGTGCCAGCAAAATGATGGTACTAGATTTTTATGCGACTTATGGACTATGGTCCCTCCAAATGCATGGTGGCAAGCGGCAAATGGCAAATGCTATAATATAAAAGTATCTGGCGACAAAGCTATGCTCGCTGAGCTGTCATGGAACAATTAAGTGGGCTGGTGTTGGCCCACTTTGGTCTAAGGGCATTCAAGAATTTGGCAATTCTGATAAGAGCTGGAAAGCTCTTCATTCAAAGCTTTTGCTTTCTTTGCTTAAAGACAAGGGCCAGCGTCCCTTGAGTCCCCACTTGAGGCCCTCGAGAATCTTATCCCACACCAGTAGCATTGAGCCAGAACTCAGAACAGTTGGTTCACTGAGTTTTATAGTCGATCTTTTTTTTTTTTTTTTTTTTTTTGCCTTTTGTTCATAATTGGGCGTTGGCTTATGATATAGAAGTAGTCTTCCGCCCCTCCATAACTAGTTTTATACTCGATGCAAGGAGAATTTGACCCCATATAACTCTTTTCATCTTTCCCCATTTGGAAGGGGCTGTTATTCTCCTTTTCCCCATTTGGAAGCAATACTTTGAATACAATGACCAATTTTTTGAAGCAAAATGTGTTGAAATGGTTTCTAAGCAATTAATTATCATCAATCTCTTGCAATCAAAATCAGCACTAGCTGCACGAATATATATATATATATATATATATATATATATATACATGAGCATAAATTAAATTTGGCGAGTGTCAGTAGGTTTATAAATATGAAAACTAGGATGACGCTAATCTTGATAAATTCATTAAAAAACACCATGAGCATCTTTTGTAATATGTTTTTGTTAGGTCCCAGACTAAAAGAAAGAAAACAACTAATAACTTATTTAAGTACAGTTAGATAAACTTTATATACAATACAAGGGGACCGACTTGCCCTTCCTGGGCATCTCAAACGGCAGTACTAATAATACAATTCGTTGATGTTTAGCACTTTGAGAGTTCATTACTCGTCACATATTCCTCGTAGCTGAATAATTTGCGTCATATTCCTTTCTTGTACCCATGCATGTCCCAACCAGCACTGAATGCCCAGAAGTTTGTTTTTCAATGAAATAGTTTTTTTTTTTTTAATTTTTTTTGTGGTTCGAGATTAGATTTTTATTTTTTGAATATAGTTAAAGATAGATTATTCGCATGGAAATAATAATTTTTTTTTTATAATAGAATTTGATATCTGAATTTTAATAACTAAAAAGATATATTCTTTTTTTAACTACCAAATAACTTTAAATAGAATAATGAATTCATATGTAACAGTATAGACATCAATAATTGCCAATGCCATTATTGTAGCAACTAGTAATTACTTCTCCAAACCAGGCAAAACAAAGTGGATTCCGATTTTCCTTTTTCTTGTTTATTTTTAATCACAATTAATGTAAAGGATTTGCTCACCTTTTAATTCTCGAGAGATCGAGATCGAGATCGAGGATTGGTCACTTGGTCCACATATGATGGAACCGATCATTTCAATGAAACCATCCCATGTGCATTAGATTAGATCTAAACAAATCACTTCCCTCGCAACTTATAGCTAAAGTCCGACAAAACAAAATTTTAGATCGAAATCAAATGGACATGCAATCTTTTCTATTGTATAGGACCTGTACTTTCTAATTCTACCATGCACGCTTCCTTGCTATTATCATGAAAAAAGTACACATGATTGATCTGTTGTATATAATATCGATTCACAATACATTTCCATTAGTACAGTAAAACAGGACTGTAAATATTTTGTTTATGTTTAGTCCCTTTGCCTTTAAATTTTAATTGGTCATGCATGTACTAGACTAACGGAGTGTAATGGAAAAAAAGGGAAAAAAAGAAGATGATATATATCAATACGTTTAACTTTTATTTATTTTTTAATACTTTTTTCCCCAACAATTATAATTATATTGATTGTCTATTAAAATATATATGGCTTTATTCAAATTATATGAATAACCAGTATTTGATTGGATTTTATATTCTTGATTTTTTTATTTTCTTAAAATTAATTTTAACATTTTTATGGAATTTGTATTGATAGGCTGTATGAGCCAAAAATACTAGTGTTATTAAAACATATCAAATACCGCTACCCGATGAATTAAAGTGATTGAATTTGTATGATCCATGAATTGAACCTAGTCATTCAGTAAATGAGTTTTTTTCTTTCATAAATGATTTTTGGTAGAATATTTTGATAAATTTGTAATAAATGGTCTAATATCTATAATGTTCTATTAAACAGCGAAGACAGGACAGAACACCTAATGCCCAAATGAAAAAGCAGAGACAAAGACACGTTCTTTTATGTATTAGACGCAAACAAAATTCTTCCTTTCTTGCTAAAACGCCATTTGGGTTGTCAGGGAAACTAGTTACGGTTTCAGTTTCCACTTCTCCTTTTTTCTCTCACCGTCAAAGAGATTTTGTTGGCCTCCCTTACACCAAATGGCGAAGGAAATGAGGTCCGACTTGAAACCATTTTCACTCTCTAAACACAATAATGTCATTATAAAGTTTGCAGTCTCATTTTTCTTGGTGGGTCTTGCTTTTCGTTTATTAATCTCTGATTCATTCAGATTCTCTTCAGTTGTTGAGACACCAGTCCCAGATAATGAAGAGACTAAACCAGAGCCTTTAGTGGCTTCTTTCCCTGTCGAAGAGCCAGTTTCTTACGAGTTTGCAGCTAATGAAAGCATAACTTCACAAACTGGTATGCAAATTTTGTTTCTCCCCCTCTATATGTCTGTGTAATAAAGTACTGATTAAGATGAGGAATTGGTTTTCTTATAAGAAAGATTTGTCAAAATGAGGATCTGGGCTTTTCCGGATGAGAAAACTGGATTCAAGATATAGTCTTACTTTTGTGATTCAATGAACACTTCCCTTTTCTTTGTTTTATTGCGTTTTTTTGGCTATTTGAAAATTGGACGGAGCCTTTTTTTTTTAAAAAAAAAAATTGTTTTTATTACATTTGTTTGTTCTGTTTACCGTCCCCTGTTATTTTATCCTGTCTTTTGAGTTTGTCAATGCAGATAGATCTTTCACCATTTAATTCAACCACTTCTTGTTAGTTTCAACTTTTTTTCTGGGTAGTGTCTGGTTTTAATTTTGGAATCTAATCTAAATCTGAGTAACGCTAACTAGCGTCTAGTATTCTGCACGCTGCACTATGCTGTTTAAATTTCTTCACTTGAATTGCTCCCGTTTCATAGTATTTTCTTTTCTGTCTAGTCTTTGTATTAGTGTTCACATCCAGTTAAACTCCTATGCCACTCTTTGAAGTGTAGTGACGTTTTCCTAAATGTAATTGCAGGGAAGTGTGATTTGTTTATTGGAGATTGGGTACCGGACCCTTCGGGTCCATTTTACACAAATCAAAGTTGTCTTCAGATTGAAGGTCATCAAAATTGTATGAAAAATGGAAGACCTGATTCAGGGTACCTCCACTGGAGGTGGAATCCGCGGGAGTGCAGTATCCCCAAGTTTAATCCTAAAAAATTTCTTCGCCTGATGAGGAATAAATCATGGGCCTTTATTGGTGATTCCATTTCGCGTAACCATGTCCAGTCATTGCTTTGCATTCTTTCTCAGGTAAAACTAAGAGCTTAAAGGAATTTTCCATGTGCTTCGCCATTGGATTTCTTTATTCACCGCCAACAATCTAACATTTGCTTCACAAGTTTTTCGACAATTCGTACCTTGTTGGGAATAATGTCTTGGTTGGGTGCATTAATTATTTAATTTTTCTAAATTGACATCATGAAGTATTGTAGATCATCAATTTGTGTACTGTGCTGTTTCTTATCGAAAACTGAGCTAGTCAAAAGAGTTGGAGTAGAAGCCAAGTTTAATTAAACCTAGGATAATTGCTATACATTAGCCACCTTTACATGTGAAAATAGAATTGCTAACTAGGCATTAACTGAGGTGGGTTTGAGGTTCTTATGATTAAAAGAACTTTGCCTCGTTTTCAAGAGCACATAAAGGTCTCTCCGACTTTCCATATCACTGCTGTAAATGTTAGTGCAGTGATCACGAGACTGGGTTCTTGTTAGTCATGAATTACTGTTGAAAATTGGGGTATTATACTTGAGGGCTTTTGTTATTTGCTGTGCCAGCTTGAATTCTTTAATTTGTTTGTTTTTTCCCCTTTCTCCTTATGATGCTAGATCATATAGATGTCGGTAATCAAACATCAATCTTAATTCATTGTGGAGTACAGTTGCTACTTTAATGGTTAGAGTATCGCTTTTAAGAGGCTATCCAGTCTTTTTCTGAGATGGCTTACCTACCATACATCTGAAGGATTTCAATTGTGATTTTGAATCTTTATGTCCTCTCAGGACAAGGAACTATTAGTCAAATATGTATGTCCACATTTCTTGTTGGTTAGTCTATCTAATTATTTGGCATCAATAATTGGTAACTGTTAGTAGTTGTCATATTCGCCAGCATAATAAGATCACATTTAAACCCATTGATCCAACCAAAATCTTTACAAAATAAAATGTACATTATGGTAAATGTTTTGTCTCATTTTTATAGTTTTGGAGTGATAGGTTCAATTTGGGTTTTATAGTTGTCTGAAAAAGGAATTAAAAAAGAAGGGACTAGGGATCCAACAGAAATTGATATGCCGTGCAAAGAGCAAGGATACGTTCATGTATTTTTATGCTTGAACCCCATAGTCAGACCCCACTGAGCACCCACTACCCCACAACCCACACATTTAATGAAATTCTAGATGGATACACTATGACCTGCCACAAAATTACATGTTTGATCTAGCTGGGTGCAATTATTTGTGTTGGTGCAGCATCATAAACTTGATTTTTTGCTTCAGCATTATACTCTGTTGGCAGTTCGAAAAGGTAGTTTCTTTTACTTCATTGATATGGCTTTCCTTGTTTTTCAGCTGAGGCTTTGAAATTTGGTCCCATTGGTAATAATTGATCGATTTCTGGTTATTTATGTCCGATAGGTGGAGCAAGCAGTTGAGGTCTACCACGATAAGGAATACAGGTCGAAGATATGGCAGTTTCCATCTCACAACTTCACCCTCTCAGTAATTTGGACCCCATTCCTTGTCCAAGCAGATATTTTTGAAGACATGAACGGAGTTTCCTCTTCAGAAATCCAGCTTCATCTTGATAAACTGGATAAAAAATGGACCGATCAATATAGGAATTTTGATTATGCTATAATTGCTGGAGGGAAATGGTTCCTGAAAACCGCCATATACCATGAGAACAACGTGGTTACAGGCTGTCATTACTGCCGTGGAAAGAATTTGACTGAGCTAGGGTTTGATTATGCATATCGCAAAGCAGTGCAGCTGATTTTTAACTTCATTACAAATTCTGGTCATAAAGCTCTTGCTTTCTTTAGAACAACTACGCCAGACCACTTTGAGAATGGAGAATGGTTTAGCGGGGGTACTTGTAATAGAAAGGTACCCTTCAAAGAAGGTGAGGTTAATATGACTGATGTCGACACAATAATGCGTAATATTGAACTGGAAGAATTTGTGAAGGCTACAGCATTAGGATCTGAAAAGAGGGTGGTTTTGAAACTACTGGATACGACTCGATTATCATTGTTGAGACCAGATGGGCACCCAGGACCATACAGGCAGTTCCAGCCATTCGCAAAGGATAAGAATGCTAAAGTTCAGAATGATTGCTTACATTGGTGCTTGCCAGGGCCAATAGACTCTTGGAATGATTTGGTGATGGAGATGATAGTCAACGCTGGAAAATATCAATGACAGATATTTGCTAGGCTCGGCTTTTCCATGATTTTTTTTGACAAGCTCGGGTGAATAAGATTTTGATGATCGAGTGAAGTCTGAATTGGCATGTGAGGCCAAAAAAAAAAAAAAAAAAAAAAAAGGAAGAAGAAGAAGAAAAGAAAAAGCTGACTTTCCATGGGCTGTTACTGCCAAACTGGGGATGCCATTACCCTGCCTATGTACACCTGCTGGGTTAGCGTTTGTAAATGAACCTAAGATTCTTTGTGATCATTTTATACTACAGTTATTTGTCATACATTTAGAGTTTTTACAGTCATTCTTTCATAGAAATCCCACACTATTCTTTGTTTAAGGTCCAACAGAACCAACACACTTTTCCAGTTGTAATGCATCTGTAATCATTGGTCATCAAAAAACAACAAAACGCATTATAAAAGTCTTTAAAATTATGATGTGTTTCTCATGGTATTTAATGCAAGAACGCTGAGAATTAGAGAACAAAATAACTAATAGTACATCACCAACCACAAGCTGCTGCATCAGTTAGCAAAACAAAGCTAGTAAACGCATCATAGCATTAATAAAATACTCTTAGCGGCTCAACCTTGGGAGAATAACAAAAACACAAATTCGCCAGATGAAATTAATTGACCTTGCCCCTGACCCATTGGCAGGTAGCATTCAGACACTTACCCAAGCTTTTCCCAGGTTCAATTACGTCTACAATATAAAGGCTCTCCCTTGGCCTGGAGGGCAGGCAGAGAGATAGTTGAACAGAAGGGAAATGAAACAGCTGTTGAAATCACAGAGAATGCGTATAACGAGTATCCATATTACACACTATAAAGTTGTAAACTCTTTTTTTTTTTCCTAACAAACAATGATAGCTTTTTGGACTCCTAAATTCTAACTCTTCAAAAAAAAAAAAAAAAAAAAACACGTAGAACTGCGAATTAATATACGTCAAGGGAAAATTCAAACATTGCCGCACCTCTTGAATGACAAAGGCCAATTCTTCATCATAGGTCATGCCTATATGACTCCCAAAGCAATGTGCCAAAAGAATTCGATGGCTACTAGCACAGAGCATTATTAAAAAAAAATGCTACCACTGAATTGCTTAATTATATTAGCTTTTTAGTTAAAAACTAATGAACTTAGTTTCTTTGACCAAAATCTTTCGCTATTGATTACACACACGAACACAAACATTGCAATTTATAAGGAACAAAATGCAGAAGGTAGATCTGAGAAAAAATTTACAGAGAAAAACAGACTAGGGAAAAAAGAAAAGCATTATTTCTACCAAAAATTCACAAGTACAATCACATTTCATATGAAATACACAGCAACTGAGATGTGGCAGCTGCACACCCTTTTGCCTCTGTTACTTTGCGATAAGAACTAAAAAACAATGATTAAGAGAACTTCACAGCAACCAAGCAACCATCATAAATCAAAGCAAGTAGCTAAGTTATGCTTCAACGCAGGACTTCTGCAAGACTATGTACAAGATTTAATGCCAAAAGAACTGTTGTGTTTGAATTATTAATAATCAACCAAGACAGTTACTCAAATGTTGATTCAAAATCTCCACATTATTATCCAACTAAAAACTTACGTCTCGCATAGCAGCTTTGGAAGAACCATTATAAGAAAAACATAAACTCCACCAAAGATTACAATACTTTCGCAACAAATTTCACCTCCCTTCCATTCTATTTGGTCAATGGTGTTGAATCCTGCTTCTTCTGCTCCAATTTAAGATATGGATTCTGAAATTTCAAACAGATAGCATAGAATTAGACCGTTCATAATTATTCACAGCCAAGATACAAAACAATTTCCAGCTAAAAGAACTTGTTCAGCAAAGATATCAAAGAGGGGGCAGGCCTATTTGCCGACCAGCACTTCCAATCAAACAGCTATAAAAGTACAGTTCCAAGCATGTTTAATTACATCACTTATGCAAATCCTAAATAACAAGACACTCAAAAATTAATCAGGAAAAAAAAAAAAAAAAAAACTTGCAGCCGGAACACACTGCTTCCCAGCTTCCTATTGAAAAGTGTCTCCAATGAAAATAACACCACATATCTAATATCCATTTTTTATAAGCTCTACATTCGATGGAATCACCTGAAGATTATTTTGGGCTGACACCAAATGGATTTTTAAGATTTCTGCAATTTTGACAAAATAATGTTTATTTTTCAGAGTATAAGCAAAAACAACTACACCAAATATACTTTCAGAATTGACAATGAAAAAAAGTTTGGGAACACAAATTGGATTAATTATTAACAAATTATTTTTTTATACACTTTCTCGGTCATCAATTTCAAACTAGAAAAAACAATAGTACAAAAAGAACACTAAAACGGTTCATTTCTGCTTTCCAATTGGAACATATTGGAAGATAAACGATTGAATCAGATCTAAACAACACTTGAATAATTCAAATAGTAAAATTTTCACAGAGACTAAAACTGAAATGGAAAATCTAGGGTTAGAAAATTGGATTAAGACGAGAAAGAGCATAAACCTTACCTCGAAGAAAAGGAGGCGAACGGCGACAGCAGTGCCCACGATCCCGCCTACGATTACCGTTGGCCCTGTTAGAAGACTCCATTTACGGTATATCATCTTTTCCTCTCCGATTTCAGTTTCTTTTCTTCCTTCAATTCAATCAGACAACACACACACTTCCCATCTACAATTATTTGCCTTTCTTTGATTGGAGTTGGCTCGTGGATTTGTAGCTGGGCCTGTTAATATTGGGCTCCAATGGGCTTCTGTTCTGCCTGTTCAGATTGCAAAAGTTTCACAGTTCTAACTTTCAGACTGGGCTTCAATTAACCTTATTATTTCTATGGATCATATCGTAGATTGATATTATACTTCTTCGGCCCGGAAAAAAATGGCTGACTTTCTAATTTTTATTTTGGTCTGTCAAAAATAATCCTCTAGTAAAAGTATTAATTCATGTATAAGAGCATGGATAAAAATTGATATCAATTAATGACATTTTTAATCTAGGTAAAAATTCAAATAAAACGGTATTTTGGGGAAAAAAGGAGTAGAGATCTAGCAGCAACACCCTAGTTGCTATTAGGATTTGAGTGGATCTCTCATGCATTCACCAAGAAAGGACTCACATCAACAGATATGGGAAGAAATTGGAAAATCAATTTGGGACACAACTTCTAGGTAATCTATCATTATTCTATTTCTATTAAAGAGCAACAATGGCTTGCTAAGGGGGTCAATATCCTGAAAATGACTCTTCAAATTGATTGCTGATCATCCGTGGATTGATGGGTTCTACCTAGCACTACAAGTAAGTTTCTAGGTGATTCTCAGACAATTAACTCGAGAAGGCATTTCTGGAGAACATCATGCGGTCCTTAGTACTAGATAACAATAGAATTGTGGTATTAAGATGAGGCCACTAGTTAATGTAAATGCTTCTCATGCTTATTGGATTAAACATGCAGCGAATAGCAATTAGAAAAATACCCGTAAGCATGGTTTCTAGCTTAGTTGTGATTAGAAATGATCATTCTTTTTTTCAGTTTAATTTTTAACAATTTCAGTTCGATTTTCGATTAACCAAATAACAAAAACCAATTCTAAACTGAATTACTATTTGGTTTTTTATTTTTTGTATAAACCAATTTGTTTTGAATAATACAAATAAGTCAAAAATATCACCAATCTATCGTATATCTAGATTAATGTTAACAATATTAAGAATTTTTTATCTTAATTGCATCATTTTAAAAAAATAGAAAAAAATCGATTTTTAGTTTAAATCAAACAAAAAATTCTAAAAGCCAAACCGGATAAAAAAAAATCAAATCGGTTTAGTTTTTTTTTTTTTTTTTATTTCAATCAAATAGTGCTCACTGTTGGTTGTAATCACGAGACGAAAACCTAATGTAGCCATTTTGCCAACTAAGCATGGGTCAACTTATCGCATTTGATGAATCGGCCATTAATTTGCTTGCTGCCTTCACTATTCCCTCGTTAACAGAAACGAGCATTCGGTTATTTGATTTCGGTCTCAATAAATTAAGTTCGGCTTTGAATTAATCAAACCCACAGAAATTCCAACCAAAGAATTATTTGGTTTTCGATTATTTACCAAAAATCCGAATTATATTTTTTAATATAAGAAATAATGTCTGATTCTTGGTTTCTTAAACACTATTTTTGTGATGAACTAAATCTTCTATATTTCATCATTTTATTAAAAAAAGAAAAAGAAATACTATTTTAAAGTTTCAGTGAATTACAAAATAGCATCAACATCAAACATCCAAGTCAAATAATATAATTCATAAATCATTAATAGATTTTATTTAGCAAAAAAAAAAAAAAGAAAAAAGAAAATAAATAAATAGTTGAACTCATTGTGTAGTTTTATTGTTAATATTAGATCTTATATAGATATTTACACACATGCACATACGCGCGCACGCGCACGCGTGCGCACATATATATGTACACACGTGCCGTCACGCTAGTTATTCGACTTTCAATACAAACTAAATAAAAAAATTTAGAAACCAAACCAAAATCTTCACCTCGAGTCGGTTTTTCAATCTAAACCAAACAGTACCCACCTCTACACATTTGAGCCACCACGAAAGGCCTTGAGGCAAGTACCTGACTCCTTCCCTCCTCCTGTTTGCTTTGGTAACTTGCCTGGCTACTATTAGAGCGTCTTGTTTTCTTTGTTCACTTGCCTGACATTAGAGACGCAACCCAAATATGGTAAACCCCTTACTTCAATCCGTGATGCGTTCAAGTCATTAGTAACTCAATTGGAAGTACTAAATTCCCATTTGAAACGACCACTATTATACACATCAATCATGGTTCGAAATCTAAATAAAGTTAATTTCTAAATGGTAAAGCGAGTGAAGAGAGGATTTCTGAATGAAAGAACTGCAGTTTGCTATTACAAAGTCCAAAAAGGGAAACTGACTTGCAAGAAAGAGTGTCGATTAGTTCAAATGCGATTCAAACCATTTAAATATTTGCTCAGACTGCAGGCTAGTCATTTCATGGTAAGCAAATGCAAGATTTAGTTCCTCCTGCACATGTTGGATCAAACTCTTATCCAGCAGAAGGTTCTTACTTTGGCGGAGAGCTTCTTTCCATTGTGTGGCACGCCCATCTTGCTTCATATATCCGCTCCCATCAACAAAACCTTTGGCCTGAAATAGCTCAAACAACTTAGCCGAAACAGTTTCATCCACTCCTGGGATTCTATCAGCTAAGAAACTTCGTGACAAAGGGAACTCCATGCATTCAACTTCCGCTACATCAATGCCCTTGTTCTTCAGAACTCCTGTAAACTCACTTATCTTTTGCTGCCTATATGAATCTTTAGGCATGTGCACAAAAAGCGTGGGTGGATAATTCTCTGTGATACCCATTTGATCAAACATTCCTTCAGCAATCATAAGTGTTATGCTACTAAACCTCAAACTGGTGGCAAGTGCAGAGACGAAGTATCCACCAGAAGAGGCCCCCAATGCTACAAGAGGAAGTGATTCATGATTATGAGTCTGTGTCCACCATTGTATTATATCTTTAACGATTAACTTTTCCTTCCCAAATGTCCAGCACCTCCCTGCGCTTGAAATTGTGATCACAGCAAATTTACGAGCAAGAGCATGAAGAACAAGTAACCTTTCCTCAGGCAAACCAACGCAAGTAGGGCAGCTTGGAGACCTGTCCCAAAAGTTAACAGCTCTGCCATTGCATCCGTGAGCCACAAAGAGAATTGCTTTCGGTGAACTCGGAATTTGCCATATCACATCTGTTCCATTCCTCAACTCTATTGTTGGGTGAAATTGCACTGACTCAAAAGCATTCCACTTTTTCATAGGATATCCAAAAGAAGAATCAGGGCTTTTCTCATTGTTGCAAAAGAATAATATTGACAATACAAGTATCCCAACTAGACATGTAACCGCAACAGGCACCCGGCAGTTTTGAAGCCCATGCCAGGCCGTCAATTTGGCTCCACGCTTCGACATTACTGCAAACAGAGAAAAAACTCCTTTTTAACAAATTTAAAAGAATAATAAAATCTGAAAGACGAGACCAACACAGCGGCAGAATTACAAAAAACACTGGATTTGATCGAAGAAGGTAGAATTCAGACTAGGAAGATTCTTGTACTGTGATCTGCATAATCTCACTGTTTCCAGATTAAAAGTTTAAACAAAGTGCTTCACACACACACAAACAAACTTCCAGTTGATGGAACTGCTTAAACAGACTACTTCTTTTTTTTTCTTCCTCATAAACGAAAATGGGTTCTTCAGATTTCGGCAGTTTGGTCATAATAATGTTGATAATCGGATTTGATGACAGTAAAAAAGTTTTTTTTCACTGTCATAAAAAAAGAACGCTAACAAATTCAATTTCATTTCAGCTTTACAAATTCCAACATAAAAGCATTTATAAATAATTCAATCAAAGCTGAACAAAATTAACCATTCAAGTAGTAAAATTTCAAAGAGAATAAATCTTACTTAAAGCTTAAAGCGAGAAAAGGAAAATTAAGAGTTTGGAGATAGAAAGGAAAACTTTACATTCTTCACGAAGAGGACGTTAGCTCGACAACAGTATCCAAGATGCCGCCCCAGATTGCCGCTGGCCTCTTCAGCAGACTCCATTTTCAGTTTACCATCTTTACCTCCGATTTTCAGTTTCTTCTGAACTCCCTAGGCAAGTAGATCAAACAGAAATGAAGCTGGGCTAGTGATTACTAACAATACCTGTTAATATTTTGGATGGGTTAAACCTGAAGAATCTTGTGGGCTAATGTTATTGTTTGTTCAAATTACATGTGTACAGTACTATAGTTCTACAAATGGAGAGAAGGATTGGAACTTGCCCTTTGGGTTTCAGAGGCCCAATCTCTACAAGAGGCCATTTTTTTATTAAAAAAAAAAATGGAAATCGCTATAAAAGAGTCGCAATTTTTAGTTCTTCCAGTTTAAAACAAAGCATTTGAAAAACCAAACAGTTATTTGTTCAAGAACTTTATGTTTCCGTTGCTTGATTTTACGGAACTAGAAACTTTATATTTCCACTGCTTTTTTTTTAAAAAAAATATATATATTACATTATTATTTCTTTAAAAAGAAAATTTTAACTTTAAATTTTTTCAAGTCATCAATAATGCATATTTGCTATAATATTCACCTTATTTCCACAAATACAAGCACCATAATCTTCATTTGAAGTGTATTTATTTATATTGTAATATGTATATTTTTATTACTAAATATCCAATTATACTATATATGTATATATATAAAAAAAAAATTTAAGTAAAAGAATCTTGTTAACAAAATAATTGATCAGCTTCGAAATGTAATTTCAATTTTTATGTCCTTTATATTTAATTATATAGTTCAAATAGGGTTAAACCGTACAAAGACTCTTGTATTATCAATCAAAATGATTGATAATTTCTATGTTTTTTTCTTTTAGTTTTAATGCATGAAATATAGTGTGCTTATATTAGCATTTCTTCTGTAATTATTTATTTACTAAAACTTTATTGTTTTGACCATCATATCAATTCAACAGATTATTAAAATAATTCTTTTAAAATTTTAAATAATATCAAAGACCATTTTTAAATTCAAATCAAATTTTTTTAGAAAAAATTGATATTAAATTTTTTGTACTAAATAATATAAAAAAATTAAAAATAGCATATCATGCACAACAAATTAGTCCAAAGACAGCACACAACAGCAAAGCCAAACAAACCGTAAGTCAGCAAAACCCATTAAGAAAACCAAAAGTTGCTAGTTTTTACCTCATATTTGACAGCCAGTTATACTTAGTCAGGATTTGAATACGCCAATCCAGCAATTCTCTAGTCACCCACCCAAAAATAAAACTTTCAAATGATTAAAAATAAAAAACGAATCCACCTGGTCAAGCTTATTTCATTAAGCCCGATCCCTGGAATTCGGATCTGGTTCAATATTAAATTTTTTGAATTGCGATTCTATCAACGGTAGAGAGGTGAAAACCCAATCTATCTTTTTTTAAAAAAACTTCTTCAATTAATTAGCAAGAAAGAAGGATGGTGACAGGGGAAGACAACCAGTTCACCACCTAATTCTACCAAGTCTTACATTTGAACTTTTATCACAAATGCACAATCCGAGGTCATTGTTCCGATCTCTATCCAGCTTATCGCCAACTTTTCCGGCAGTTTAATTAACTAATTAGCATCTCCAGAGGACAAAAATATTTAAAAATCGATCTCATGGAAAAAACAAAACGGACTCACCGACAACTAAATGTATAAAAAACCTCAAGTAATAACAAACAAATGCTGGTCTGCTCCAAGATTAACTTGCAATAACCATGGCACAAAATACCCATGTGGCCATTTTGCCCTCTCCTGGCATGGGCCACCTTATCCCGCTTGTTGTTTTCGCTAAGAAACTTGTTTTCAACTATGAGTTTTTGGTTACCTTTATTGTTCCAGCAATAGGGCCACCGCCAGAGGCCCAAAAGCAAGTTCTTGCATTCCCTTCAGGAAGGCATAAACTATACCTTTCTGCCTCCAGTTGGTTTTAATGACTTGCCAGGTATTAAGGCCGAAACCCAACCTCCCAGTAACTCGCTCCCTTTCTTCAATCTGCTACGTGCTCAAGTCATTAGTTACAAATACTAGGCTAGTGGCTTTGGTTCTCGATGTTTTTGGCGTGGATATTATTAATTTTGCTAAGGAGTTCAGTGTGCCATCTTATATTCTTATCCGAAAATGGGTATGATATTGTCCTTGACATTTTTATCCAACGTTGGATGAGATGGTTTCACGCTAGTACAGAGACATGCTTGAATCGGTACAGCTGCTAGATTGTGGAATCCCGGTACATGGAAGGTATTTACCCGACCTAATGCAAGACGGGAAGGATGATGCATGTAAATTGTTGCTTCACCATGCAAAACGACATAGCTTAGCTGAGGGCATCTTGTTGAATAGTTTCATAGACTTGGAAGCAGATACTATAAAAGCTATGCAAGATGAAGAAATCGGTAAAATACCTCTTATCTACCCGGTTGGACCCATCATTCAATCCGGTTCAACTAGTGGGATTAATCGATCTGAGTGTCTCAATTGGTTGGATGATCAGCCAAAAGGTTCTGTTTTGTATGTTTCTTTTGGGAGGTGGGGGACTCTCTTTTGAGCAGATAAATGCGTTGGCCATTGGCTTGGAAATGAGCAAGCAAAAAATTTGTGGGTTATAAGAAGCCCAGATAATAAATATGCTAATGCCTCTTACTTCAGTGCCAAAAGTAGCACATTTCTTTTTATCTTCTTCCCGAAACGGTTCTTGGATAGGAACAAAGATCAAGGTTTGGTAGTGCCATCTTGGGCACCGCAAATTCATGTGCTTAGTCATAGCTCAACCGGTGGGTTCCTCACCCATTGTGACTGTAATTCAACACCTGAGAGCATTGTTGCTTGGCCTCTCCACGCGGAGCAAAAAATGAATGCAGTATTGTTAAGCGAGCGATTTAATTAAGGTTCCTGTTATTGCGTTTGCTAAAAATCCACTTCTTGTTATTTCATACTGCCTTACTAATGCTTTGTGGTAGTTTTGTGTTATCTGTTGACTATTGCTGAAATTCGATATGGATTGGACGATTCATGATGTGCAAGCTCAAGTCCAAAACTTATAGCATAAAAGGAATTAAAACTTTTTTAAAAAAATTGTGACGGTTTATCAAATAAATATTTAGTTTATTTTTGAGATATGTAAAAGCTGAAAGAAGAATGGGTGTGTAATCACTATAACTCTCTATCAAATATAAAACCAGAGAAGGAAAAACTCTGAAACTAACAACATATCTTTCTGTAAAAATTCTCGACAATGGTTCAAGCACTTGAACAGTGAACTTATGTGTTTTCCTCTTTAATTACAGGTTGAACATTTGAGCACATGTAAGACTCTATATATGGTTCGGAGCAAAAGTACACTCCCTAATTTCCTACATGTATATTTCCCCCAACTCAGTCAATGTTCAAACAATGGTATCAACATGTTATTTATTGCGTTGTAGCTATAGATAAATTTCTTCTGTGAAAATTGTTGTAGTGATAGATAAATTTCTTTTGTGAAAAAAATTCCTGTCGTGCTTGCGAATATTATCTCAAAACCTCCTTTTTATGTTTTATTAATCTAGCTAGCTATCGTTTGGTTTCCAGATTCCATTAATTAATAAGTATATATTTTTTTTCTAATTGACCGTTAAATATTGGTATGTTTGGTCATTTTGCATAAGAAATTTTAGAATTGTGATAGTAATTATTAATAATTATTCTATAAAAAAAAATAGATGCAAAGAGAAGAGAATTTAAAAACATATATTTTTAAGTGTATATGAAAATATTTTTTATTATTTTTTATGGATCCATATATATATTTTCATCCTATGTATATCTCTTTTTCAAAATAGACTTATAGAATAACTATTGTTATTATTTTTATTTTTATTTTTTTATTTACATTTTTTTTCAAAATAGACATATAGAATGACTATTGTTATTGAAAATGCTAAAAAAAAATTTTCATTTTGCACGTTTGAAGAATACGTTCATTTATCCAATCCGATTAATTAAAGCCAGGCAATGCACACCTATAGGATTCATAAGAAAATTTATTCTCATGACCTGACGGTATTCTTGATTTATACAAGACGGGAAAGAATATGGTGAAATTTTCTTTAAGGCAAAATCAGTCAAATTTTCACTGAACTATCATTCATTTGAAAATCAATATCTGAACTGTTAATTTCAAATTTGATCTTTTCAAATTTTTTTTTTTTAAGTTTTGGTCAATTCTATAATTTCCAGTTGTCACCTTCTCTAAAAAATTTAATTCTTGGTATTTTGATCTAAAATTTTACAAAAAAGTTGAAAATTTTCAATTTATTTTCTAAAAAGACACCAAAAATTTTCAAGTCAGGGAAATATGTTTCTTTCCTAAACACTAAAAATATAGAAATTTCAAACAAAAAAAAAAACCTACAATGATTTCAAATTTTTTTGAATTTTTTAGGAAGTTTCAAAAAAATCTTAATAAATGATTTTCATTAAGAAGCCATTTATGTGACCACTTTTTTTTTTTTTTTTTTACTTAAAACTCAAAAATATATCAAAAAATTAAAAAAAAATTCAGAGTAGGTCAAACTCAAAATTAGAATTCAAAAAATGCTTTTCAAATAAACTAAGGTGCTGTTTGGCAATCAAGAATAGAGTGGTGGAAATGAGAATAAAAGTTTTATTCCCACATTGTAGTTGATTGGTTAAAAGAAATGAAGTGTGAATGAGAATGAAAATTTACACACAATTTCATTCACATATAAGATGTGGGAATAAAAAATAAAGAATGAGAATGAATTTTTTTAAAATAATAATATATTTTATTTATTTATCTATTAACTATTATCACTACCACTACCACTACCACCACCCTCCACCACGAGCACCCACCATCCACCACCACCACCACCATCGCAACCACAACTACCACCACCACCATCACTACCATTACAACCATTATCACCACCACCACCACATCAACACCATCGCGACCATTACTACCATCGTAACAACTATCACCACTACCACCACTATAACCATCACAAACCACCATAATCATCATCATCATTATCGTAATCACTAACGCCACAATCACCATTACCGTCATAACCACAATCACCATCACCACCTTTATTATTTTTACAATTATTATAATTTAATAAAATTATTTTTTTACTTATTATTTTTATTTGTATAAAAAATCGGATGTTAAAAAGTTAAAAAATTTAATTTGCATTCCGATTCCTCATTAATATTCCAAACACGGTATGAAAATATAAATATCATTTCGATTTTTTAATTTTCATTCGATTCCTGCGTTCTCATTTTCATCACTCTATTTCGATTATTAAACAACGATTGAAGATGATAAAAAAAATTAGACTTATTTGACATTTGTTTAATATACAGGTGACACATTGTAGGTTTTTACTTTCATCGGTCTTGGTTGATTGACCAACTATCACAATCAAATATTTTCTATGTTAAAAAATAAATTGTCATTTTTTATTTTTTTTATAAAAATTTCAAAAGTTATTAATTGTTAAGCATAAGTGTTTTTTGAATTTGGATAATTTTTCACAAAACGAACTTTAATTAAAAATATTTTATAAAATGCATCACTTAAAGTTTTGAACATAAAAATAATTTAGGATATATATAAAGAGAAATATAGACAAATTTGTTTTTTTGAAATGAAGCGAGTATATATTTTGAAAATGATCAACTTTTGTTGGGCGGTAACTAATGATTAGACTAGCGAGTAAAGTCATCATGCATCAATCCAAATGACTTGAGTAGCCCTGAGATGAATTCTATTAACACCAAAAACAGGACGTATCAAGCAGGTCACAAATCTAGATGTCTTTGGGCTTCGGATTGTGCCTTCTCGTTTTGGAGTTTTTGCTAGGGCTGTTATGTTACTCGATCAGATTGTCTTGCAATTGGGTTTAGTTGATCTTGCAGGATGTTGTTATCAGCGTTTTCTTGTGTAGCCATTTTATGATTGGGTTCTCGTTTTTTGCACTTTATTTTATTCTAATAAATTTTGAACACATTTATATTTTAAAAAAAAAAATACAGGTCACAAGCTATCTTGTTATGCAGTGATCCAATCAACGAGCTCTTTTTTTTTTAAAAAAAAAAACTTGTGATTTAAACCTGAAAGCCTATTTTCATCTGACGAGGGCTTGCAGGGTTATATATTTACACACACATAAGTGAAAAAAAAAACGTATTTTGAGTTTCAAAGAAATTGTCCTGTCATATGCACAGAAGTGCAATTTTATTTTGAAGATGAAACAATTAATCAAAATTACAATTTTTTAAGAGCATTAACTTTAGAGAACGCTACAATTAGAAAAAGATTTTCTAAAAATATTGGATTGTGATTATATACACTGGCACTAGCTACTTTGGCTTTAGGCGCTATTGAAAGAAGTCAGCATCTAATGGATTTCACATTACCCTATAAATAATCAATGACTTCTTAGAACATATTTTTGTTAACTTTTTTCTTCTAATAGAACAATATTGCTTTGAATAAATAATGTTGATGTCAAAAAAATATATTGATTAGACTTGATATAACAAAAATTTTAACACATTTAAGTCATTTTAGAGTAGAAAAGAGTGTTTTGGTATAGAAAATGAGTTACTTAAAAGGTGAGAATTCCATTTTATATTGCACCAAATACATACCAGCTGGTTCATCAGTGGTCATTGATGCCAGAAGGTTAGCGAATTAATGGGCATTCATGATCAATTATTGCATCAGTACATTGTAAGTTTGTAACTTACGTATCTGTCAAGCTACTTGTAATTTTTGGTTGGTTGGTCCATAATATATATATATATATATATATATATATATATTGACTTGGGTCTACTTGTAGATTTTATTAAGCTTGAACCTGCCACACTAATAATGTCTTAGTTTTTTATGAATTTTGATTCGTCAAATAAATATATAAAATTATTAAGGAGCCCTAAAATTACATTAATAATAGTCTTAGCTTTTTATGAATTTTGATTCGTCAAATAAATAAATAAAATTATTAAGAAGCCCCAAAATTGAATTAAGAATTTATTTTTTTCTTTGCAAAAGGGAAAGCAATGAAGAGATCATCTAGTGATTATGATATTTCTAACTTTGTGCAAAATAACAAATTAACGACTTAAATTAGCGCTGAGTTTTGAACATTTTCATTCAATTACGATTGCTTAGTTATGAAAATCACACAACCCGACAACAATCAAATATATCAAAATAATAATAAAATAAAATAAACATATTTCACAAGACCAAATCAATTGATTTTTTTTGTTTTGTTTTTTATGAGAGATCAATTGAGCTTTTGGAGAGGATTTAAACAGTTCAAATCAATTGAATTTGGTTCGTGCATCAATATTAAATTTCTTTATCTTCACTCTTTCTTATGTATCTTCGATGGAGGAACCCGTAAAAATTGAAGCACGGTGATTGGCTCATGAGAAAGTGAGAAATTGGCTCAAAAGAAAATTGATGTCTTTTTCATCCCTTCTTGATTAACAGGTCAATCACAACCATTATAAGAAAATATGCAATTAACGATAGATTGTATTTCATCATTAATTAGCTATTGAATAACGATCGAATGTCAACAAAATTGAAAATATAACAATTTACGATGAACATTTAACAATGGAAAAAATTCCATCATTAACACACGCAACAAAAATCAATGCTAATTTCAGCTACGGAATTATGACAAATTAGCAAGAGAATTTCAACGAAAAAATACCATTTCAACACTAACCCTAAATTCCTAAAACCTACCAGCCCTTTTCCTTTCCCCATAATTACCCCCTTTTCCTCTCCTCCTCCTTTCCTGTCATTGCCCTACTAGCCCCGACCATCGCCCCATGCCAGCCCACTCATTC